TCAGGTCCAAGTTGGAATATGCCTCAGTAGTTTGGAATTCCATCACCTCGACTGATGCCAATAAGCTTGAGCGCATCCAGCAGAAGTTTGCGTCCGTCTGTTTTTATCGTTTTTCCCTCATATTTCATATAATTATACTGATGCTTTAGAGAAATTAAGAGTACAGTCTTTACATAAACGGAGACATCACCTTGATGCACTTTTTCTTGTTCAGGTCTTTCGTGGTCTTAAATCCTGCGCTTCTCTTTTGGAAAATGTTAGCCTTCGTGTTCCTCCCAGCAATCTTAGGGACTTCTCATTGTTTGGTGTTTGTCCCTCTAATAAACACTGTCCTTCTGCTCGGTGCGCCTATGCTGCCAACGCGGTGGGTAAAGATCTCGACATATTTGCAATCGGAACAGTTTCTGTCAATGACACTGAACCTAAAATTGTTAATAATATTTGTTAATGATACTCTTAATATTACTTGTGTGTATGTGGTCTTATTTTGTTGTTCTCTCCTGTTAATGTTAACTTTATTTTTCTTGGCATTATTATTAATCTATTGTCATTATGTAGACTCTCAAATTATGTATTTGTTTTTTAATTATTTTTATGTAATTCTATGTACTCATTCTAACCTTTTAATTGGCCACTGTGCTGTTAAGTTTGCACATAAATAAACATGAATTGAATTGAATTGAATTGAATTATTATTACAGGGATGTTGACATATTCGAAGCCAGGAACAATCTCCTCAATCGTCTTTTATAATATGCTGTAATTGTTACTCTTTTTCCTTGCACGCATGTACATAAACAAGGATTGAATTGAATTGAATTATGTATAAGTATTTATACTTTATATTTCTCAGTTCTCAATAGAAACTTAGATTTATTTTAATGAAATTATTATTGTTATTATTACTTTGTTTGTTTGTTTCCTTCTCCGCAATTAATGTGTTTTTCCTCCAGTGCCTACCGTTAAGTAGTCTTTGTGTTGTGTTTGCCCATAATGCAATTAGTTTTATCTACACTGTGCTGTGTCTGTAATTGGCCTTGTGGCTGTTGGCTCGGCACATAAATAATAAATAATAAAAAAAATTGAATTATTATTTGTATTTTGTTTGTAAGTTCTTTATGCACTCGTGCAAACTTTTAATTGGCCCCTTGGCTCTTATATTTGCACGTTAATAAACAGGAATTTTATTATTATTATTATTATTATTATTATTATTATATCAAGCTATATTTTAAATATGTTCAAGTTAATAGCCTGCATGTTGAGAGGAGTTCTGATTTTGAAGTGTCCCTCCAGGTCTGTGATATTTTGGAGCGGTTAAATGGAAGGGTTACCTGTGGAAACTGTTTCTTAGACATGGGAGTTATCAAATTTTCCTGTTGAAATTTCGGTGGTATTTCACTATTTTTAAGAAATGACTTTGGAATATCTTTGATTTTTTTTTTGTTATATGCTGCAGGTTACATTATAAGAGTTAAAATTTAATATTGCTACAGTGATCTGTTGCTGAAAATTTCCTACAAAACATCTAAAGAAAGCACTTCAGGCAAGAATCATAATTTAAATTGTGTTTGAAAAAATCGCTGAAGTCAAGGCATAACCTAATATAGCTATCACTAGCAGAAACATGTAATGGAAACTAAACTTCCTCATCAAACTCCGCCCTAAAATCAAACTTTGGGATGAACAGAATATGCACAAATGATGATGGATTGAGTCAACAGCTTGATATCTTGAAGGCAGGAATATAAACTTAGCGAAATAAGTAGGCCAAGTCTTTTCAAAACAAGATGTTTCCTTTCCGAGGTGTATTGACAGGCCACAACATTGGTTTCCAACCTATTTCACTCTGACGACTAGCGAAGCGTAGCGGGAAAAACGTGAACCGAAATGCTAAGCTACAGGAGAGATATAAATTTGTTCGTTTTTCAGAATATTTATAAAAGTTATTGGATTTGAGGTTCACGCATGAGTGTCTATGAAGAATACAATCTTCTTAGATTTGACACCTTTTATTGCTGAGAAGTTCATCGGAGTTTCGGAGGATCCCCCTCTCTACATCATCAGGGTCAAAGAGAAAGCCAGGCAACCGGAAATACTTCTGTTTCCTCTTTGGCTGTATACCGCCTTGCCTTGCTTTCTCTTAGAATCTGAAGTTGTAGACAATGATTTCCTCCGAAACGTCATTAATTTTCTGTCAGAATGCACAACGTCACATCTCGAAAGATAGTAATTTCTGTGGAAAGTAGCTGTTCTGATTAAGGTTTATGGCGGCTTTCGTCAGTTCCTCCATGGAAATATCAAAATAATACCTCGATTAAGTCACGACCGCTTCCTTCCAAATCCTTTCCAATTCAGCATTCAAGCGTCATCCTATCATCGACGCTATATAGTTTAGAATCTAAAGGAATATTTACAAAATCAGAAAACAATTTTTTAGGTCCCTCGTTTGTGTATTTTTTTAATTCGCTTAGTGGGTGTGGAGTCCAACTAGGTTCACTCGGCACGGTGGCCACTGATTGGCCTATTGTACGCTGCCCCCGGTGATTATGATGATGAATTTGGTGTAATGAAGGTTGACAGGGGAAACCGAAGTACTCGGCGAAAACCCGCCCCAGCGCCACTTTGTCAACCACAAATCCCACTTGACCAGACCCGGGATCGAACCCGGGCCGCCGCGGTGGGAAGCCAGCGACTAACCGCTTGAGCTATGGCGCGGCCTCATGTGTGTCTTAAGAGTGTGGACAATTGCAAATACTTGTAAACACTGTAATGAACCTTTGGTTTCCATAAAGTTCTGGGAATTTCTTGTCTACCTGTGCAGCGATTAGCTGGTCAAAAATAATTCTGCTCAATGTAATTATTTAGTTATTTATGACTGCCATGTGTGAGCCGATTGCCTAGAAAGTGTGGGAGCCTCGACGTCTCATAACCCTATGGGCCTGTTACAGGGATAGCCTTACTTTCTTTCGCATCGTAATGCGTGAAAAGAGCAATTTAACAGAGAGAAATGTAGCTACGATTAACCTACAACTGTAGGACGAGTCAACCAAAGCTTCAGTTGTGGCGTTGATCCGCTCATGTGGGACCACTGAACTGCGCAAAGGAGGCAACTTACGGAAAACTGCAGTGTTGTCAAGTTTAATTCTTCTCAAAATGTATTTCAGTAAACGAGATTAATAAAATTCAATTCATAATATTCTTAAATATAATAAATAGTAATCATTTTATTTATATTAGAACGTGATTTACTACTTTGTATAAAAAATTAATTTAAACTCAACATTTTTTGTGAGATTCGGTTCAGAGAGTGTACACTCTCAAACTTTATATTATAATGAGTGATATAAATAATACCGTTTAGCCAAAAAATGATAAAAATACTCCCACGTTAAAAGTTTAAGATTCTACACTTACGTTTCTTCTGGCTTCATCTAATTCGTGCAAATTGCAGATATACATTAAATTGGAATTTAAGCTAGTTTTGTCTAAGATTGTATCTCCTATATATCCCTAAAGCACGAGCAAATACGGAAACAAAACAAACACATACACGCAAACACGAGACAAAACAAGGCAAATGACAGTAATTGTACTCTTCTGCTGACAGGTGACGGGCTGGATTACCTAAACCTGGCACTGAAGGACGGCGGAGTCACTCTGACCATGAACCTCGGTAATGGACGCCTGGAAACGCAGATCAAACCCAACAGAGTGCGGTTCGATGACAACCAATGGCACAAAGTTACTGTCCATAGGAAAGTGCAAGAGGTACGAGTGTGTTGCATGTCACAATTTAATTGGCTGATGATCTTCGGCGCTATCATACTGAATCCTAACGTTCTAGAAACGATCGTTTCATTTCATTCATGGCTTTCTGTTTGCAGGTGTGTGTTCAGAGAAAAAGAGTAGTGAGTGAGATACCAACCGTATGTTTCGAGCGCGTACATTATCCAGGGTCTGTGCAGTGCTCACTAGCCTGCATATTAATTCGGGAAGGGGAAGAAAAAGGTTTTAGAGTGGTAAAGGAGTAGTGACTTGGAAAAAAAATCCTTGAATTTTGATGGTGAATTTCATGATTTGGAAAGATAATTTGGTGGCCCCCAAAGCAAAGAGTTTAACTGTGATGAATCTTAGTTGGGAAGGCTACATGAGTGGCTTGTAGTAACGACTTTGAACTTGTGAAAGATCTCATTCCGTGATTGAGGACAGAGGAAAACTATTGACGTTCACAGAACCTTTTAGATACATACAGACTTCTAAACAGCACTCATGCAGCTAAACAATAAAAAATGGTCCTAAAGTTTATTTTCTTATGCGGGGTACTTCATGGCACTGTCAGTATCTCACTCTATATAGCGTCGAATGGGGAATAGCAGATGAATTGGGAAGGATTTGGAAGGACGAGATAATATCCTGGAATTTTCCTTGAGTGCTTAGGAAATTTAAGAAAAGTCTCAGAATGCCTCGGCCTAGAATCGAACTGAGCGCTTCCGGAATACAAGTATAATTTGTTACCGCTACATCAGCCTGTTCGGTTTCATTATTGTGGTATTTTATTTAAGGTCTCAGTTTCATGTCAGCAACGTTACAATGTACTCATATTTTGAATTAAACGCCAGAAACAAAATAAGTACATTTGTGGTGGGTGTATATATATATACATACGAAGGGCGTTCCGTGTATAATGCCTCCTTTTTTGTGTTAATATGTAACGTCTGAGCTGGATGTTGGTGGTGTTGTAGTAAAGGTTGAACCTTCCCGCCAATGTACTGTTAGTTTCGTTGTCGTGCGACAGATAGCGACAGCAGAGCAGTCTACCAAAATGGCGTCTGATATATAAGTGCGTACGAAACAGAGACGTGTTTTGAATTTCTGACTGCCAACAAATTGCACCCATTGACATCCATCGACGCTTGCTAAAGGTGTACGGAAACAATACAGTGGATGTCAGCACAGTGAGGCGGTGGGTAGTGCGTTTCAACAGTGGCGAAAGTGAAGTGCGCGACAAACCACGCCCTGGACTTCTCTGCTCATTTGCCACTCCTCACAATGAACATATGAGTGTATATATGTATATGTATTGTGGCGTATAGAGCTGCTGCTAAGCGGTGACGCTGTAAACAGCGACCGTTGCTAAATAACGCCCTCGGCATATACTCACGCAGCAGTAGAACGAGGTAATGCAAACCGTTTCTAAGCAACGGCTTGATGAACACGTTCCCGCGGAAACGAGCACGCGCAACAATAGAAGAGCGGTGTTTACTATGGTGTCCGCGCCATGGCGCGGTAAACATGCCTCATCAAAAATATAGACTGTGTTTTCTGCGTAGTCCGTGCCGATGAGTTATCTTGAAGACAAATGGCGTTACGGTGCAGTTGAAGGTTCAGCTTTGGATTGTTAACCAGCGGTCAAAGGAAGCGGAAGAATCTCCATTGCTAAGATTCGTTACCAGGAAATGTCTAGTGAAAACACTGCAGATGAATAGCCATTGTTGAGAGCTGCTGCCAAGGAAAGACTATTGAAAATAGACTAAGAAGACTTAGTGTGGACTGATTCGCGATATAAAAATCAGCAATAACATTATAGCTATTTGTAGTTAATAATTAATCAATTTACTCACCAATCAAAACCCCGTCTGTAGTCACTATTACACGTGACAATGATGTGTGTGTCTAAGCCCTATATAAATATTATTCTGCTATGAGTAGTCCGTTTCCCACGGCGGATCTCATGGAGAACACTCAAAGATGATATGAAATTTACACAACACTTTCATCAGTATTTACGACAGCTAATGAGAGAGTGTTTCGGGCATGGTCCGAATCCTCATTCCGAATATTCCACATCATATGTAGACCGTATTAATCTGAGTATTATTAGTTTTTTAACGTGAGGCCCTTCGCCGACGAAAATTATATTAATTTTAAAATGGAATGACAAGCCACCTAAAGTGAAAAAGCCGTAGGAGATATAATTATATTAACTGCAATACATTTATAACAACTTTTAATTTGATGTGCGCGAATTTTCAATCTTTCTGTATATATGTACAACCCAATTACTTATATGACTTTGCATGTTTCGGTCCGTCCTTTATGCCTATCTTCAAAGGCTGAACAATAAAAGGAATTTGCCTTAAAATTGCTAAGGATCTTAGTGTAATAAGTAATGCAGTCATAACGATAAAATAGGTTGAATATTATCGCTAAGAAGGTTTCTTGTCATTCTACTATCTTGTGATTGAGATGTTTCTTATTGCTGTTTCTTAGAAGTCTGGATGTCCTATTGAATATGTGTTGGTGTCTGTGTGTTGAACTGAAATACGTCCAACTGTTGGACTGCAATGAGTCCAGATGTTGGACTGGGATCAGTGGCGGGCTCTTGTAAACATGGCACAGAACTTTCGGGTTCCATAAAATATTTGGAATTTCCTGAGTAACTGGGCGATGATTGGCTTCTCAAGAAGTAGTTGATCCATAGAGTTCCGTGGATGGATGCATGGATAGATGCAAGGATGTGTGGGTGTGTGAGTGGGTGGATGCATGGATGTGTGGGTGTGTGAGTGGGTGGATGCATGGATGGATGAGTGGTTGAATGAATGCATGGATGTGTGGGTGGGTGGATGCATGGATCTGTGGGTGTGTGAGTGGGAGGATGCATGGATGGATGGCTAGATGAATGGATGTATGGAGGGACTGGCTGATTGACTGATGGATAGAAGGACGGATAGATAGATAGTATTTGTTATATTTCTTCACTTTCTACAATTTAGATTTTTTCCAAAAACTTGGAGTTGAGAAACAGATGGCTGGGATGCAACATCTGCCGACGCCTGTAACAATACACGTACATATAGTGTACATAATCATGCCCTGATAAACCGTAACCAGTTTTTAGAGTTAATCTCTTTGCATCCTATCAGTTCCCTGAATCCAGACTACTGCAACTTCAATCTGAAAGCGTAGCATTGTTTTACCACTGTGGGCATTTAATGTGGCGTGTACTGTAAAAAGAGACCACATTGATAAACATCAATATGAATTTTTAGTATATTAAATCCACAGCATGGTTATTTATCACTGAAATCTAATCAGAAATCTGACGGTGACAGATCTCTCCTTTGTGCTGCCTGTGGGAAGCAGCCAGACCCATCAGCCTCCCTTTGACTTTTAGAGAAAACGATTTTCATTAATAGAATTTTGCGATGGCGTGTTGCCCTCGCGACTTCCATTTTATTTGAAATCTTGCGTGTGACCTCATGCCATAGGTTAGATACCGCGATATTAAAACCGATTCCAGTAAACTATTTTTACCACACGGATTCTGATATTCAGAGTAGCACTCAAATATTTTAGTTTGTACTTTATAAAGAACAGACTTTATGAAGTTGAATCATAGTGCATAATGACTGAAAAGTACTATCTTCTGGATCGTGGCGCCGTATATCCCGATAAAGTCTACCGACGTTTCTGAGGACCGTGTTACCTCCATATTCAGGGTAGTATAATATTCCAAGCAATTAGCCAGAAAAAAAAGGAGCAGTAAGCTCAGCGCCATAGCTCAAACGGTTAGTCGCTGGCTTTCCACCGCAACGGCCCGGGATCGATCCCGGATCTGGTCAAGTGGGATTTGTGGTGGACAAAATGGCGCTGGGGCAAGTTTTCTCCGAGTACTTCGGTTTACCCTGCCAATCTTCATTCCACCAATTGCTCCACCATCACCCTCACCTATCATCTGGGGCTGGTACAATAGGCCAGAAGTGGCCGCAGTACAAGGGACTGGGTGCCACCCCACTAACAATAAAGAAAAAGCTGAGATCAGCACATCACCCTTATATAGTCTGAGTTACTGACGGTGTCATTATATAAACAACAAATAAATAAAAATTCTCGGCTTCTCAAGGGAAGCTCCTCCATGGAACCTGTCCATAATATTTGGGATATATATATAATATATTCTGCATTCAGCAGAAATTTACGACTCTCTGTTTTAAACGTTTTTTTCCCTTAAGTACATTACTGTTACGATTTTGCTTTAGAACAATTGAAATTGCACACCTTGTAAAAAAGGAGGTTATCATCTTGATGCGCTCTTCCTTATTCAAGTTTATCGTGGTTCTGTATTTTGCCCTTCTGCTTTGGAAATTGTTGGCCTTCGGGTCCCTGTTCGATATATCCGAGACTTTCCTATGTTCAGTGTCTGTTCTGTTAGTAAAAATTGCCGCTCTGCTAGATGCGCTTCTGCTGCTAATGTTGTTTG